AAATGTTGATTTTACAATCATATTGTTGGTGCTAAACTGTTGCTTGGTTTCAAGTAGATTCTGTCAGGTACATTCGACTGAAAGTGGTCGGAAGGGCCGATATCATCGAATATGATAATCGGATGTGATTCTAATGCGGCTGGGGCCGATTAGAGGGGTTATTATTAGTGGGCCGATTACCGTTCTTATGTGGATTTCACCTTTCGAATAAAGAATAACTAATCGAATAAAGAACTAATATTAGAACCAAATAGCTTCAGAACTTATATGCAGCATCTAGAAAAAGTGTACAGAGATTCCAAAAAGGCTTTGGGACACCCTTTATGTTGCCGTTTTAATAAATTCGTTGTACATAAAATAGATTTTGTATTTGTAATCACACAGATATATCTGTGAAGAAAACGATGTGTAGAAAGCAAAAATGTAATAGGATTTGACACTAAATGGAAGAGAAAAAGGGAACGGGCTAGCAGCTGCAGCAAACAGCACAAAATCAGATTAGATCCTGCAGTCATCTTACCAAATCGTATGATAAGATACGTACACGATTTTATAAGATCTTACCGTAAGATGTTGTAAGAATCTTACTGTAAGATTGTATAAGATGAATCAGTTTCTATGATTTTCCGTAAGATTTTTATACGATCTTGTACGACTTTTGTCTGATATTACAAGATCATATAAGATCTTACAGTAAGATCCTTTGACCTGGGTATTCAACGCAATAAAGAGAAATGAATAGAATGAAGAAAAACATAAAACTTTGAAAAAGAAGAAAAGAAAATTTTGTTCCAATTTCACCAAAACAATGTCCTAGACGCTTGTGTATTTCAACAATTTTAGATAAATTGTCTGCCGATACATTATTTTTGTAAACTTCTAATGACTTTTTATAATATTTTATGGCTAAAATATGTTTTTGTTTTTCTTCGTAACAGTTTCCAACTTCAGTGTTTAAGTTTGCAATTTTCAATTCGTCCTGATGTACTATTATCTCCTGTATTCCTAACGCTTTCTTATAATATTGTAAAGCAAGACTCCACTCTTCGTTCTCACTGTACAATGTTCCCACCTTAGAATATAAGCGTGCTCGTATAACTTTATACTTTTCTTGATCCAATGTTTCGATTCTTGACAATGCTTTTATATAGTATTCAATAGCCAAAGGATATTCCGTTTTCATCTCGTATACAAAAGCAATATCGTCGTCAAGTGCAATAATCTCATCGAAAATATCTTCATCAGCCACATAGTCGTTAAGCAGGTCGAGTGATCTGCTGTAATGTTTCAACGCACAGTCATATTGGTCGACCTGAGAGTGGCATAATCCAATCCGGTGATGTACATGTGCAACTAATTCTGTATTGTCAAGCAAAATTTCATCCGTTAATTTCAATGATTTTGTATAAGTTTCGATTGCCCTTTCATAGTCTTCTTTGTGATAATAACTATAACCAAGTGTATTGTACAAATTAATAATCGTGCCATAATCAGATAATTTTGTAATCAGTTTATGTTGTAATTCTTTTTCACAAAATTCAATACATAAATCGTACTGGTCTGCGTTGTAGTAAAGATGAAGGAGTCGTTCATACAGTCTTACACTGTCTGGATGATTTTCCGGATAAATTTTTTTCATTAGTAAGAACGCTTTCTGTATATGTCCAACGGCCAACGAATTATTTTCGATTTTATAGTAGATTTCACCTAGAATATGATGCGTTTGAGCTATATGAAAAGTATTTGATGGTAAAAATTCATTCCAAATTTCTAACGATTGTTGACAATGTTTCAATGCATATGAATAATTCTCTTGTTGAAAATAAGCAATTGCGATATTTTTATGAAGTTCTGCTATTATTTTAAGATTATAGATATCAATATTTACAAGCGCTTGTTCAAAGTGTTGTATTGCAATATCATATTGTTTTCTATTTGTATAAATTGCTCCAATAGCATTTAAATCAGTGTATGGCGACACACAATAATCACAATCTTCTTTCATGAGATTGAGACCGATGTGATATGATTCTAAGGCATGATCTAATGCTAAATCAAACTGTTTGTTTCGATTGTAAGCCTCAGCTAACAGCATCAAAACCATATATTTGTCCCAGTTAGTTGTTCTTCTTTTTAGTAAATTCTGAAAAAATTCAATTGACTTTGTATAATAGCCCAATTCCAACATAAATATGCCAAAAAGAGAGTCAGCCCTGATATCCCCAGCATCCAGATCGATGAGCTTGGCTCTGCGTTCTGTTTGGATAAAATCATTTTCCAAACTTGTAATGTTAGCCATAGTGACCAAAGATACAATCCACATGTTGTCATTATAGTCTACAGCAGTAATTTGAAATGTTGTACCTAAATCAAATAAAACCTCTTCTTCATCTGGCATCACACTCAAGTGCGAAATGTCGGCATAAATTATATTTTGTAACGAAGTATCGATTTTGATGTGGAATAAAACGTTTGCAGCAAATATTTTTGCAACTTCTCGTGATCGACTGGTGGATAGAAAACCGTTTGTCGAGACATATCTACCAATAGATTGCTTTATTTGTTCTATGTCTTTCTGAGGTAACGTTAATCCACGGTAAACATCAAATGTTTTCCATATTTCCTGATAAAGTTCATAGTTTTCGTCGAATAACAGTTTCAAACTTTTACATAAATCAACAATAAAAAATCGTAAATTATATAAGGCATCTATATCTTCTGTTCGTAGTGCATGATTAACAAATTTAAATGGAAAAAAATTCTTTGTATACCATCGGATGGTTTGTGTTGAGTCGTACGACTGGTGAAAGTTATCAACCGCTTTTAAACTAACGCCATCTCCTTGATAATATGAACGACAATACATATCCTGTTTCGATGTGTCTGTTTTAAATTTCTGCATAGTATCTCGTAACAATTGATACCATAAATAATCAGCAGAGTCTTGTTCTAGATCGCGGATAGTTTTATTGTTCATATCAGATAATTTGAATAACGATAGTTGTCTAAGTATTGAACGTATGTTTTTCTCTAACGCAGTAAACAAAGACGTATACTCAGTATAAATATTGATCAGTTTCGGATATTTTTTATTATACAATAAATCTTGATATAGTTGTTTATCACTACAAAAAATATGAATTGAATGAATGTTTTCATTATCATGTACAAGTGATAATGTTTCACAAGAATATTGACCAGATACAATTAATCGATTTGTTGGGAAAATAAAAAAGTTTAGATTAGATACAATTAAAATTAGTTTATGGTTTTGAATTCTATTAATTGATTCTAATAAGTCAGATATCGTTGAACATACTATACAATGATCGTGTAAATGTTCTAATTTATTTTTTATTTCAATATCTATTTTATCATCAAACCATAGAACAGTTAAATTTTCGTTTTTATTTATGAGCATTAAGGTTAAATAGCTAAAAGGTTGCTATTATTATGCGTCAGTATCTTTTCGAAATAGAGTTTTTGCTGCAAACTTCTACATGAACAAAATTATCAAACTAGGGATTATTTTGCTGTTTTACCAACAAATCCAATTGAAATTGTTTATTGAGTTCTTAAACGATTCACTTTAGCTACTGATACTCATATCAAAATCGTTTCTACTGATACATTCTTTCCAAGAAACCATTTAGTGAGTGCATTTGATATTCTTAGTATTTATGTTGAATTATCTCGATCAACTGTTAAAAAAGAACTCAAAGCAATTGCTAGATTATATAAAAATGATCAAGATGAAAGAAACCTTGTAAATATTATTGATGATGTCTATGAAAATCAAATCGTTGATAAATAAATAAGTATTCTAGACATTCTTGAACTATATCTATCATGTTATCTATCATTTACACAATATCTTCAAATGCTTTCATCACCTGATATTCGTTAATATAGGAACGGATGTGACAGGTTGAATGGCCGCACTCTGCATTTCTCTTTTCAATCACTTAATACGTTGTATTAAAAAAACAAAATATCCCACAAGATGCAACGTGAAAAGCTCTACAATCTCCAAGGTAAAGTTTATTTTAATTGTGTACTTTTAGTTTTTTTCAAAAGAGACAAAATTCTATGTGATCAATTTTCAACGCTGCGAACAAGATCATTTATTGTTCGCACAGAGTTTTCCTTATTTTGAAAACAAAAAGTGCAAATATAAAATAAACAATCATATGTAGATTGTAGAGCTTTTCACGCTGTATATTCTGGTATATTTTTTTTCCTAATACAACGTATTAAGTGATTGAAAATTGAAATGTAGAGCGCGGCCATTCAACCTGCCGCACTCGTTAGTGTATATGGCAGCACATCTATTCAAGTCTTTTCAATGTTGCGATTAAAAAATCAGATTCGATTTGAGGAGTAAATAATAGATAAAAGGGTATGTGAACATCAGCAATAGATTTATCAATAACAATAGATGTATCGTGAATAATAGTCAAAAAATTATTATGAAAAATATATTTCTCCATAGTAAAATGATCCGTTGACCATTGTTGAAAATCTTTTTCGATATTTTGTTTAACTATATTTAGAAATTCTTTCATTTTGTTTCTTAATTGATTGATATTTAGTTTCTGATGATGGATCATGATATGGTGACCATTTATTTTGATTAATAGTTAATTCAATCGCTTTAATAACAGTCCATGCACTATCATTATTACCTGAATAAAATTCTAATGAATTCCAATAATTATATGATTTTATTAATTGAATTTGTTCATTTGAAAGTATTTGTTCAAGCTCATATTCAATATTTAATTGATTATAAGGATTTGATGATAAAATAAAATCATATTCAATAAATAAATCAACATTGGAATGACGATTATAAAGAAATGTTATTTGTTCATTAAAGTTTATTGTACAAATGTCATATGAATGAGTTAAATGATTAAATTTTGAAATTGTATTCGGTTCGATTGAATGATTAACAAAATCTAAAAGATAAAAAGATAATTTTTTTTATGATGATAAATAGATTCTAACCTAAATATGGAATAAGATAAAGATTATTATCTTGATCTTTTGAATCAATTTCCATATCAAAATGAACACATTGTGTATTTATTGTATAATAAGCCAATTGAAATTCTTCATCGTCATATTGGGGAAATTTGTTTCGTGATTGATTATATTTATTTAAATGCTTTTTCATTTTATGAATTAATTGTCAAGGATATTTATCATTGAAGTAAGCACACCATTGTGGAATAGATCGCAGAAATTTAATATATGGATTTGTTTTATTGTCTAATAAACAAATAATTTAAATATTCAAAACCTGTTAATTCATTATTTTCAAATGATGGTTTTATAAAAAGACGTTCAGATATTGAAGAGAATCATTTTCAATCAATGGTCGACGAGAATAAAGATCAAAATCGCAATTATTTGAATGATAAACATTGATATTTTCAGTATTAACACCAGTTGAATGGAATCAAGAAAGAACACGATTGATATTCATCGATCTGAACTTATAACAAAATCAGAAGTTTTGTCATTAGATCGAATTTTGTGAATGGAACGAAAGTGTATAATAGAATACAGAAATTCGTATAATTGAAAAAAGATAACATCTTTCTGTAAAAACACGTTCTTTTTTGACATAAAAAGATCAAGAGTATCGTTAAGCATAAACAACAATGACGAAAAAAACTTAGACAAATTGACTTTTTGTTCTCGACTACGATCGTTTATTACGCAATTAAAAGTATATTTCACAAGCTATTATTTTTTTCAGCACTGATCTTGTTGAAGAAAAATACTCAGTATATACAAGAAAGACCAGTAAAAAGAACTTTAATCAAGATATCGATGTGAGACCGGACTGCTGGGCATAATAATAAAATAATACGTTGTGTTTTTATAATCTATAATCTATGTATTTTTAAATTTGTGTGATTTTTTGTCTGTCACAGTTCAGTTGCTGTGAGATACGAAAAGTCGGAAATGTTATTGTGACAACGTAGTTGCAGACAGTATACGAATTTCTTTTGTTTTTGCTCAGAATCATCTTTTTGTGTGTGACATTACCCACAAGTATGTAACAGGTAACGTTGAATCGAATGATGTAGGTGAAGTTAGCACTGGATTGGAGTAAAACTTGCCCATATTCGTCTACGAACCTGTTCCAGAGCGTCTACTCTTGTTTCAAGTACAACTCGACGAGCTCTATTCAATGGTATGATTAGATTTTCAATAGCCTAACCATGTCGGGAAAAATCAAGAAAAAGGTGATCAGCTGTGCCAGAGATTTTAAGATATGTTCTCGTTACTGACTAAGATGTAAATATCATATCAGTTACCAAAATGGTTTCAAATTTAGCAGATTAAAAAAATATCTAGCTTCTAAGAGGCTATGCACATAATACGAGACATCATCAGCTACACCGCTTTCCAACAGACTTATTTACATTCATGAAGTTAACACGAGTT